CTCTTTCGGTCTCTGGCTCGAGGATGAATAATTTTCGACGAAATGAACATTCGATGAAACAAACTTTCGACGAAATGGGTGTCGACGAAATGACTGTCGACGAAATAATTTTCGACGAAGTAAAACGCGACCGATATTTATTCCGATATTCGATATTGAGTTATGAATTGAGATAAATAATAATTACATCCTATATAGATGAATTGAGATGAATAATATCTTTAATAATTACATCCTAGATGAATAAATATACAAACAAATAATTCTTTTATAATATAGTTATACACCTTTTTTTTCTATAACATCTATTACTTACTTTAATAAATAATAGGTTGTGAATTAGATTCAGCAAAAAGTTTTTAAAAAAAGAAATCAACCAAGTTTACATAAAATTCCTCGCGACTATTAAATTTCTATAAAATAGTTTTTCATGAACCTCTCTAAAACTTATTAACCAACACCCCCATAAAGCAATAACCATATGAAAGCTTAAAATATTCTACACCTCATTTACTATCAAGTCTTTTAAAGTGATATTGAGAAATAATCTGAGGTTTGAAGCAAAGAAGTAATACCGTTTTTGAATAGCCATTAATTCATGTAGAGAGGACCTTAGAAAGCTTTAATGGAGTACTTTCATTTTACTCTAACAATGAAGTTCAAGTTTATTATAAAAATAACGAGATAGTAAGTTAGGAGGCTAAAATTGCTAATTGAAGTAATCTCAAAAAACAATTTTATCTAAAAGTTAACAGTTTGTGTGATGAAAACTTTTCTATGTAGGAAATGCAGATTTGGATAATTAACAAGTATGGTTGGTAGGCCTTTAAATGGGCTAACATTATGTTTTTTATACAATTCAATTCACATCTTTAATTCTAATGCTTTTGCTGGATTATTTGATTCTTTAGCTTTTTAATTGTTCATTCAGTGTGTTGAATTCCAGTTGAATTATCTGAAATTTTGCAGCATGGGTTTGTGAACTGACTAAAAAAGAGAAAAAATTATATATTAATATGGTACGCTCTAATAAGCTTTGACAGTTTTTCTTTAAAAAAAATCGCAGCAGTGAAGGGCTTAGGGTGTGTTTCATTTATAATGTACGTTTACCATAATAAACTTTGGGTGGCTGTGTTACGGAATCCTCCAACAATTTTATAACACGTAAAAATTGTTCTTTTCAGTCGAATCAATCACTTATCTCCTTCTTCAGCCATAATAAAAATAAAAATATAAATTAAAATATAAATAATTTTTTGGGGGTTTTTTTTTCAAAATAATTAAAATGAAAAAATTTAAATTTTGCACATTTTTAATTTTGCACATTTTTATATTTATCTCGCTAATAAAAGCTTGGGGACAAGGTTCATTATTATAATAAATTAGAATATATATATCTATATAATACGGAATAAAATAAATTCAATAAGTTCAAATTTTTTTATATCCTAACATAAAACAGAGGATCACGAAATATTTGATTTAGTAGACGATTTAGAAAATGCAGAAGGGGAAGATGTAACTTTTTATTCATGGCTCGGAGTAGAACCTACAGCTAGCGAGAAAGAAATTAATAAAGCGTATCGTAAATTATCTTTAACTTTACAGTAAGTTTATTTGTATATTATGATAATAAATACATGTAAAAACTTAACGATTTTATTATTATTTAGCCCGGATAAAAATCCTGATAAAGATAGCAAAGAAAGATTTTCTAGATTAGGTTTAATAAGTGCAATTTTGCGTAATTCAGAGTCAAGAGAACGATACAATTTTTTTCTAAAGAATGGAGTACCAAAATGGCGTGGTACTGGCTATTATTATAACCGTCATAGACCGGGACTTGGTGCCGTAGTAATATTTTTATTAATGCTATCATCATTGTTTCATTATGTTATCACGTGGATAAACTATTATCGGGACAAGCAACGTGTACGATATTATATACAAGAATCGAGAGAAATCGCCTGGGGTAAAAGAATGAAAAAACAAAACACCAGGAAAAAAATTTTTGTTAATGAAAAGAATTTCATTGTTGATTATGATAATGTTTTCTTGTTGACTAAAGATGGTGAACAATTTATTATGGATGAGAATGAAATCGAGAAACCAAGAATTTTGAATATTTTTGTATTTTCAATCCCTATTTTAATTTATAAAAAACTAATTTATAGTAATAAAGATGATACTAACATTAACAATAATATTAATAATATCAATGATAGAAATATCAATGATAAATCTCGTAGACGTAGGAAAGAACTAAACAACTAATAACTTTAATTTTAAGATTTTGGTGTATTTTATTTTATCTTATAGGAAAAATATAATTTAGATAAATAATTACATTAACTTTGGAGTTTTTCTCTTCCAATAGTGTAAATAACAACAAAATCAATTCAAAACAAGAAATAAAAATAGTAAATAATAAATTCAAACTAAACTTCTTATTTCTTATTTCTGGTTCTTGTTGTTTTTCTTTTTATTCCTTTTCATTCACCAGAATATTTTATTAGAATTATCATTATTATAGTCATTTTTGATTATTATTGTCTGATTGAATTTTTTTTACTGGTCATTCATCAACATCTTTGTCATCATCTTCTTCATTGTCAATAATTGTGCTGTTACCTTCATCATTACTATTAATACTATTATTGTTGTCCGATTTAATTTTTTTTATTTTGCTGTTACCTTCATCATTATTACTGGTATTAGTGCTATTATTGTTATGGTGTCGACATCAAAAATTTTGGCTAAACTTTAAAATGTATAAGCTCAATGACCATGCAAGATAAAAAAAAAAACTCTCTATAGTTTTATTCTATAAGACATAAGGAAAGATACAATAAAGAGTCTTTTTAAATTTTATTGAAATGAAAAGAGTTATAATGGTTTAAAGTTTGTCATTAATTATTATTATTAATTAACACAAGTAAGAAACGAACCATTTGCCATGTCATGATCTCCTTCCAAAACTCACAAGTCGTGCGACTTCTGTGCAGTTTTCTCGCCAATTGTCCCCTTTTGCGTCTAGCCGCGCCTGGTCTTTTCGGTTTTTGGCGCGATCAACGTTTTCACCATATTTAGCAAAAAATTGTGTCGTACGGCAAATGTTTTGTTCTATAACAAGTTTACAATTTACAAATTTTTCAAAAAAAAAAAAAAATTTATACACGTGTGCATAAAATGAGAAAAAAAAATTAAATTTTAACTATTAGCCATCAATCCTTTCCCACACGTAATTTCTTTTATCGCCATGTGATTTAAATTGTTTTGCGAGTATCAAATATTTTCTTTGCATCTAGTAGCTCATTCACTTAACCTTTTTATATA